GAAGCCGACCTCTCCGGGTTACGTAAGTGGCAAAATTGAGTCTCCCCATTAAGATCTGATACTGTTTGAGGGACCACTTGCTGAAGTGCGTTGCGTAGCGTTAAGCACTTTTTCTCCGATAAGGACATTGCATTGAGTTTTGTGTCCCATGTTATGCCGAGAAACTCGAGGCACTGTGTCGGAGACAGCACGGACTTTTCGAAATTTATTGTCCAACCCAGTAACTGCATGATCTTTATCGTTAAAGATATATCTTCTTGTAGTTGTTGCATCGACTGGCTTGCCAATAGAAAATCTTCCAAATAAACTACACATCTGATGCCCCGATTCCTGAGAAACTCTGCTACCCAGTTTGTTATTGAGGCAAACGTTCTCGGCGCAGAGGAAAGGCCAAACGGTAAACAGGTCATCTGAAGCAGTTGGTGCTGGTTTGAATTGATGGGATAATTCAGCCTCAAATATCTTCGATGACGCCGAGCAATCGGAACGTGAAAGTAGGCTTGGCTTAGGTCTAATTTTGCCATCCAATCCTGATGCTGCAGAAAGGTGGGTACTCGAAAGTGACTGAACAGTCTGAAGGGTTTCGTTTTGACGAACCTGTTCAGTTGTTTCAAATTCAATATTGGACGGTAGCTGCCGTCTGGTTTTGGCACCAAAAAGAATGTGGAAAGGAAGCTGGCACTCGGCTCCGCCTGTTCGAGTACTCCGGACTTTAAAATACTTTGAATTTGGCGAGTCATATTTAAGGAAGTTTTGGTCCTGTAACTCTGAATCACAATTGGATTTGGAAGTATTAGAGGTGGCTTGAGTTTGAATGGGATGTATGAGCCGTTTAATAGTCTGCATATTTGTCCCGGCGCGCCTAAATTGCTCCAAACACATTGAAATTGTTTTAGACAGCCGCCATGAAATTTTTGAGAGTCATTTACGACGATCATCTTTAAAGGAAAAATGCGATTGCGATTTCTTTCCTCTTTGTCTATTTTTGCCCGATTTATCTCGATTTGTTTGGTTGGATAGGCGGGGTGCTCGTTTTCCTCTTTTCGAGGGATTGTTTCGATGAAAAAATGTATCATCAGCTTGTTTACTAGTCGATGGCTTTTGATTTTCATAAAATTCTTTTTGAGTACGAGGCATTGATCGGGATGAAGTGATTAATTAATCTGCCCCTCCAATTTTCTGAAGGTAGGTCTGTATGGAATCGTCGTTAAACAGAGTTTCTACGTTAGGAGGGATTTTTTGCAAAACCTCGCGATGATATTCTTCAGGAATTTGTCGAAGTAATGAACCACGGCGTAAGCTAATTAGATCCGCTCGTCTACCACAAACTATTTGAAACAAATCTTCAGTCACTTTGCTATATGATGATTCTTTAGAAAATAACTCTCCTATTTTATCAAATAATAAATTTGGAGTCAATGTTTGTCGAGAATCACTGGCCCAATCTACTAGTGCTTGTAATGCTCTTTGTAATTCCTCTTTTTGGCAAAGTAAGGAGTTGGTTAATCCGGCGAAAGAACGTTCTAGCAAATAAGATCGAGGATCATCGCGCAACATTGCAGTTTCAAATAGTTTTAACGAATCATTTACAGCAAGTTCGACGAAACCGGGGGTAGATAAATATTTCTTCTGGGCATCGATAAACCGTACAGCATACCAATCATCACAATTAAAACGCTGTAATTCTACTAATTTCTTTAAATGTATTTCATTTGCACGTGGATAAATGGGATCTTTTACCGTAGTACTCAAATCTGATAGCTTGAGCTGGTTTATTTTGTCCCCGCCTTCTGTTGTAGGTCGGTGCAAGTTAAGATTAAGTGAAGGGACTATTTTTTGGTTTTGGCATGTAACTTCACTAGATTTTGTAATAATATTAGTTAAAAAGGCCACTTGCTGGGATAAAAATTCTAAATGTTCTTTACTCACGGTTTGATCCATTCTCCTTTTCTTGTGTCTCCTTGTTTGACTGTAAACACTGCTTTTTGACGAATCACTGCTATCCGAACTCGACCATGAAGTACGCACACGTTTTTGAGAATTTAATAATGTAACTTCGTCGACACTTTGTTCCTCCATAATTTTTTCAGTAGGGTAGCTATTTTTTAATTTTAGAAAAAAAAATTGAATCTTTTTGTGCTTACGAAAGGCTGACTTGTGAATGGCGCGAAAAACAACGCTATAATGACGAGACCTGGTGCTCATCACTGCTTAAATAACAAAGCAAAAACAGTGGTGAGGTGCCCCCTCCAGGCAGGTAAGGTAGCCGGAAGTGCTGACTTTAGGCGGAAAGACTAGTGCTTGACTCAAGATGGATTCCGGATATTGATACATAACAAATAATAGAGAAAATTTTACCGAATTGATATATGAATATTTATGGAGAAGAGAAATTATAAAGAATAAAAGTGATCCTTTTGAGGAATTAATAAAAAAGATATGTTTACAGACACTAAAGAAATGATTATAATATACTGTTTTTTTTTTTCTGAATTGTTTAAAACTGCCCAGAAATACTTGAACACCCAGAAATAACTTCAGTTGTTAGAAAGTTGTGGTGGGAGTGAAGGCAACCTGACTTTCTAGATAAGATATCTGATCTGATCGAATCTGTACTAAAATTAAACCAGCACGCCCCGACTCCACGTAGTCTTGTCTGCCCTACTCTTATAGTGGAGCGGAGGGAGAGCAGCCCCTGCCCGCTGTAGCAAATCGCAGGCACCTGTGCGATCCGCTACGCAAGGGCGAAGGGGCTGCACTTCCCGCGGCGCCAAAACCGTTGTAAAAGTAACTTTGGGTCAATATTCCTGTGTAAAAAAGTGAGGTTATGATTTTACAAAAAAAAAAAACATTATTCATAAACTATACTTTTCCGCAACGAGGGAAGGGTAGAGGGGCTTTCCCTGACAGGGCACACTCCTGCTACCCACTTCTCCCCTCCTGCCGGAGATGATAAATGTTATTTTCAGGTTAGGTGTATGGGATTTCCTTTTTGATTTTTCTCAAAAACGGTGTATTACCTTTTAATGGGAGTGGTGTTGGGAGTAAGGGGATGCTCCCCTCTTCCCCTCCCCTCAACCCCTGCCCCCTCCTCCTGCCAAATGATTCTAAATTTCAACCCAGGAATCTATGCAGTGGCATAAAACAGGCACACCACCACCCAAGAAATTTAAGGTGGCATAATCGGCTGGGAAAATCATGACGACAATCTTTTGGGACTCAGAAGGAATCCTATTGATTAATAAAAAAAAAAAGATAATCTCCATAACTGAAAATTACTACGATTCAATCCTAGAACAATTGAAGGAAGCCATAAAAGAAAAGAAGGGGAAAATTGACCAAAGGAATCCTTCTTCTGCACGACAACGCGCCTGTTCACAAGTGGCATGTTGCGATGGCTGCCCTGCAGAAGGTGGGCTTCGAAATTTTGCCACACCCACCCTATAGTCCTGACCTGACCCGTAGTGATTATCTATTTCCAAACTTAAAAAAAGAACTTCGTGGGAAAAAGTTTCAAAGTGATAAAGAAGTGAAGGAAGCAGTTTTGGCGTATTTTTTAGACAAAGACAAATCATTTTTTTTGAGGGTATACATAAGTTAATTGAAAGATCCAAAAAATTTATTAGGGTAGCAGATGAATATATCGAAAAGGAAAAATAAATTTGGATTTTTATTTCTACTCCTTACCCCCATTCCGCGAACTTAAAAACGCACCCTCGTAGTTTACGTTCACATGTACAACTTTTTAGAATACAAGTTTTTCCCATTATTCTTCAATTATTGTATAACGTTTTATAACTATCACCACAGTAAAAAATATAGGTATATAAATCACTAATAATTATTTAAAAAGTCACACTTATAAAATCACGTTTTCTTACAGCAGCTTTTTTGTTATATTCACTTAATTATTTTAGACTACGTAAATATCAGAGGTTTTGTATGGAATAGTCATGAAAATTTTTAAATATTTGAACTCAGCACACTTCACTCCGTCTACAACAGCTATGTTCATATAATAGTTTTTCAGATGCCTATATTAGATGGTTCTCCTTACCTCTACACTCCATATACCAAATAAACTGCTAGACTGTGTTAGTTTGTAGTAGGTAGGGATTTTTCTTTTCTATTGTCATTAATTTATATTAATTCTCCCCAACGAGTATATAAGTACTTGGCAGTAGAATATTAGTCATTCTATGAATATATACATAGTACAGCATTGGACTTAGTTTTAGTTTGCCCACTAGGAAGTAATAAATATAATAAGTACCTAAGTAAGTTATGACCTTTGGAAGTAACATATCTTTTTTTAAAGAAATTTTTATGCCGAAGTTGCATTCCGTAGGTATACAGTTTCTTAATCGCAAAATACACAAATGTGTTATATCTCGAGATCAGTCTCAAGCCAGTGCCAGTGCAAGTTTATTTCATTATTTAAGTACAGCCACAGAATAAATAATAGGTATATATATATATATATATATATATATATATATATATATTACTTTACGTTTTACTTTGGTGCAAATCGTTTGCCGGTGGAAGTTTCTCATTAAATTAATTCTTTGTTACTTACCTAAAATAAAATTTTAATATAACTAGTTCAATGGGTAAAAAAGTAATTTTAAAAAACCAACTGCGTAAAAAAGTTTACTGAAAAGAAAAAAAAATGCCCTTCTCCAATTAAGACGAATCTAACGACGCCCCATATGTTAAAATCCATGTAGCCGTTTAGGCTATAGAGAATGCCAAAGAAATAGACATACATACATACTCGAAAACATTACCCTCCATCTGGTGCAGTCGGGTAAAAAGACATCGTCTAAAATCGATATTGATGAATTCACACAATACTACAAAAACAAATCTCAAACGTAATAAAAACACGATTTCCACGAGGTTTACACATTAAAACTGAAACTGTGGTTGGCGTTGACAGAAATCTTTAATATGAGTGTAGTCATGTTTAGTAGCAAACGTATTGACCTATATAATACCTTATAATTGCCTCCGCAACTCGTCTTCCAATTTCATCGTCGGAGAACGCAAGGGCCGCTATATTAACAGCAGCATCACTTTCTTTGCCGGCCCAGTTCTCTGTCAATGAGTCGAAAGATCTCACAACAACCATGTCCGTGTCTAAATAAATCCCGCTCCATTTGTATAAGATCAAATATCTCAGTACATCAGCCGTATGTTCTACACCCCAGAGACTTTTGTTCAGGGCGCCAGTATAGATTAAAGATTCAATTGGTGTCCCATCTGCGAATTTGGTTATTAATACTCTCAATAATTTTATATTATTATACTTTTGAAGTAGAATTAGGTTGCTTCTTTCCAAAATGTAATTTTTAATCGGTGAATTAAAAAAAACGTAGATTTGTCGTGCTGGATTAGCTTTAGCTGCAGATTCAATGGCGCAAGCCTTTTTTTTTTTTTTTTTTTTTTTTTTTTTTTTTTTACGTGGGGAAATCCTCATGGATACCTTCCGCTACGGGGGCAACGAAAAGGTTATGCCGGACTCATACCGGCTAAAACCCCACGGTGGTCACCATCAGCGTATACGAGGGGTCCCGGGATCTCCGTTCGGAACGCAACCGGGGCCCCTTCGTCGCTTTGCTACACCTATAGCACGTCCCGGGGACAGTAATTGCTGCCCCCAGCACCCTCGCAGTGCTATCACGATGTCTCGAGACCACTTCCGAGTCATCGTCCTCCTCAGGGGTTACATAGCTAGACGCTCGAGGCCCCCGCCCCGAGCGTCTGCAACCCCGGAGGCCCCGTTTCTGGTAGGGGAACACCGTTTTCAATAGGAGGGCCGTGACGAACGCCTTGGCGACGTCGTCTCCGTGCGGGATCCGCCCTCTCCCGATCCCGCTCAGAAGCCTCCTTCTGAGTCATAACAGATTCACAGAAGGTGGCTACGGCCCTCCACGCCGAATCCCCGCTCAGCATCGCCGACACGACTGCTGGCAGGGAGAGGTCCCGTCCAATGCGGTTCACCAGGATTGTCCGCTCCCGTTCCCACGCTGGGCATACTGCGAGCGTATGAGAAGCGGAGTCCTGGTCCTGTCCATCACAGTGGAAGCAGTTCGCCGTCGCCTCGCGTCCGATCTTACACAGATAATCACCGAAGCACCCATGCCCGGTAATTATCTGTGTAAGTCTGTAGGTGAGTCTTCCTACTCGTCGCTGCATCCAGGCATCGAAGACCGGCAGGATTGCTCCAATGACGCGTTTGTATTCATAGCGCTCCTCGAGTCGAGTGCGCCATGTCGCTAGGGCGTTTTGTCGTTCCTGCCGTTTAACTGATTCGAGCGCCTCTTCTGGCTCGCTACCACCGCTCTGGCGGAGGGCACGGATTCGGTCGTACACCCTCGCATCCATCTCCGCCAGTATATCTAGTGGTGGAAAGCGAGCCAGGATTGTCGCCGCCTCAAAGGATATGGTGCGGTATCCTCGTACGATCCGTATGGCCATCCTCCGCTGGACACTGTAAATTTTAGTTCTACAGCGTCGGATGGCCAGCCTTTTTGCCCATACAGGCGCTCCATACAGAGCTACGGACCGTATAACTCCTGCATAGAGGCGACGTACTTCCTCCGTCGGTCCCCCTAGATTGGGCAGCAGTCTATGCATAGCACCCGCCACCCTTTCGATCCGGGGGACTAGGCGCTCGAAATGTTCTTCGAAGCCCCAGCGACTGTCAAGGTGGAGGCCTAGGTACTTCATGTACCTCCCCACTCTGACTTCGGACCCACCCACGCGGACGCACGAGTTGGGTGGTTCCCTGCCCCGTGGTAATTTATGGAACCATAGGGCCTCGGTCTTGTGAGGCGCTATTTCTAGACCCAACTCGTGGATTTTGGCGACGACGACTTCCACCCCAAGTTCGGCGAGCTCCTTGGTCCTCTCGAAAGTTATCCCGCTGGCAATCACCAAGGTGTCGTCGGCATAGCACACGATATTTACGCCAGCGGGAAGGTCGACTCGCAGAACCGCATCGTACGCGAGGTTCCACAGTAGTGGTCCCAGCACCGAGCCCTGTGGAACCCCACGTCTGATCTCCCTCCGAATCTTTCTACCATCTTTCGCCATGTACACAATGTACCTGTCGCGCAAGTAGTCCCCAATAATACCATGCAGGTAGGGGGGCACTTGATGATGTGCCAGTGCCCTTCTGATTGCGTCCCAGGGTAGAGAGTTAAAGGCGTTGACGATATCAAGACTTATCGCCAACGCCACGCCACCCCGTGATACTGTTTGTTCCGACAGGGAGCGGACGCGCATAATCGCATCTACAGTGGAACGCTCCCGTCGGAATCCAAATTGGCTGTCAGCCAAATCGGGACCGACGCGCGACAGATGCCCGCTGAGCCGAGTGGCAACTATCCTCTCGAACAATTTGCCAATCTCGTCCAGCAGGCATATGGGTCGGTACGCAGAGGGAGAATCTGCAGCCCTGCCGTCCTTCTTCAAGAGAACCAGCCTTGCCTCTTTCCAGGCTGTGGGGAATTTGGCACACCGCAGACAGCTGGTAAACAGTTGCCTGAGCCTGTTCCCCAGAGCAGCCAGACTCAGCACTAGGGCCCGGCCCGGGATTCCGTCGGGACCCGGTGCTGTGTTCCGGACTTTTAGGCGGCTAATGGCTCGGTCCAGCTCCTCAACGGTCACCCCCATCTCCTCTTGCCACACCCATGAAGACGGCAGGTGACCTTCGGGACTTGACCGGTCCTCTGGAAAGAGCGTGCTGATTACCCTTTCCAGAAGATCCGGGTCGAGAATCTCCGTCAGAGGGGGCGACCAGGGCCGGAGCTTACCCAGCACCATCCTGTATGGGCGCCCCCAGGGATCTTTGTTGAGTCCCTCCAGAAGCTCTTTCCAGGACCGAGACCTGGCGTTGGTGATGGCGATTTGCAACGCCTTTGTAGCCGCTCGGTATGCCCCGTAGAGTCTGGCTATCTCTTCAGGCGGAGCTCGCCGTCTTCTCCTGCGGGCTCTAGTGTACTGGCGCCGACACCGTAAGCAGATTGCACGGAGCCGTGCGATTTCTGCTGACCACCAGTACGCTGCTTTGCGCTTAGGGCGACTGATTCTGGGCATCGACAGGTCGCAAATTTGCGCCATCGTACCTCGAAACCAGTTCGCTTCCCCTTCAGGATCGGACTGTACCTCTTCGGCGTTTTCTGGCCAGGACGCGACGATGGCGGCGGCTTCGAGCTTATCTTGATCGAGCCGCTTGAGACACCAACGTCGCGGTGGGCTGCTATCTCGGCGACTGGGATTACTGTCGGGCTGTCGAAGTGCGACATTGAATACGATGTGGCGGTGGTCAGACAAGGTGACCACCTCCTCCGCCACTCGCCAGCCCGACAGCATTTGCATTGCAGGAGGAGTTGCCCACGTAAGATCCACGATGGACTCCCCCTGCCACCGTACACATGTGCTTACGGACCCCTGATTCATCAATCGGAGGTCCAGTCCAGCCGCCCATACCATCACTGTCTCTCCCTTGGGATCGTCTCTAGAGTTGCCCCAAGCCCTTGTGTGGGCATTAAAATCTCCCAGAGCGATCAACGGACGAGGTTGACATTCGCGAATACAATTCGCCACCTCGTCTAGGTACGCCTCGTAGTCGGCAAGGGACCTATTAGGAGAGACATAGCAGCCCACTATGGCCAAGGGGCCCCATTGCACTGCAACAAAGCCCTGCCCTCTTCTCAATAGAGCGCAGGGTGGGGCACCCTCTCCACCACTCCAGTAGATGGCGACGGAGCCTGATTCGTCACCGAACCAGCGAGGATGGTCGGGGACGGCATAGGGCTCTGCTACTACTGCAAGGGCAACCCGCCACTCCGCAATGGTTTGCATGAGCAAATGCTGCGCATTACGGCAGTGGTTCAGGTTGCCCTGGAGGACTTTAAGGGGTGCGAATTTCTAACTCAGCCACCTCCATAGCCGAGCTAGTACTCGGAGCAGCGACAGAAGTCGTTGTGGCCGCCTTGCTGGTGGGTGCAGAGATCTCACCATTCTTCCTTCCCTTTTTTTTGGGAGGAGGCATACACTTCTTCCCTAATCTGTGGCCAGCAGAATGCCCAAGATCGGAACAGAGGGGACATTTTAGTGCCGACGCAGTACACTGTTTCGCCCTGTGTCCTTGCTCTCCGCAAGCATAACAACGTGCGCCTCTGTTTGTTTCACTGGAGCACCTGCTGGCAACGTGCCCCCTTTCTAGGCACCGAAAACAGTGCATGGGCCTGGGCTCCAGTAATTCTACTCGAGCAGACCCCCAACCCACGCGCACTCGCCCAACAGCCGTAATCTTGCGGACTGCCGTCACTGGGCACCGCACCCAGCATGTCCCCATGCTAGTGGGATTTCGGCGGATTTCCCCGACTTTTATATCATCCACCGAGCAATCTCCTGCCTCAGCCATAGCTGCCGCAACCTCCAAAGTGCTGACGGCGTCGTCGAGGTCCCTCAGTCGAACATCGCTAGTTTTAACTGGCCGATTGATCCGCACGTTTAGGTCTGAGAGAACCTCACGCATTTTGGCCGCCAGCTTGTCCGCCTTCGCGCCGCAATCCGGACCCTTAATTTCCAGCAGGAGTCCTCCGGTTACTGCCCGCTTCTGGCGGACTGTTTCGATGCCAAAATCTGCCAAGTGTATTTTGGCCTTTGCCTCCTCCATTACTTTGGCATAAGTGACAGTGGAGCTGTCTGACACCGTAACTGTTACGGCCGCAGATGTTGGGGCACGCAATAATTTCTTGTTTTTCCGCCTTTCTTTCGGAGCACCGGAAGGTGATGCCATCGCGGCGATCTGCTTATCGGTGCCCCTTGGTTTTTTGGGCTTTTTAGCCACTTCAACCCACGAAGTGGCATTGTGCGGTACCGGGTTATTCGATACCGTCGCAACCACAGGGGGAAGATCGACCAGCGGTGGGTAAACAGGCTTCTTTTTCCTCTTCGACCTTTGCCTTTTCGTCTTCTGTGGCTGCGACGATGGAGCCGATTGCAAAGGTGGTGATAGCCGTTGAGGTAGCGATAACTCACCTCGACTCGCACCTGCCAATGGAGGTCGGATCACCCTATCGGGAAATATCTTGGCCTCAAATATTGCCAGCTTTTCTTCGATTAGGGACCCAATGCGCTCCATGAGGTCTCCCTCTCCATGCTTGGCCTTGTGGTGTGCTAGCACCGGTCGGTTGGACATGGCTGCTATGTTCGGAGGATGGGTATTTTGCGTTTCCTGCTTGCGGAGGAGATAAATCTCCTTGGTTAGTTTTTCCGTTTTGGCCGCAAGACTGGCCAGCTGTGATCGCAATTCCTCGTTCTCCTTTTCAAGCCTTTTAATGTTTTCGCTTGTCGTGGTCCTTCGCGCAAGTTCTTCGGTCGCCGCCTTTATATTACGCACAGCTAGCCTTATACCCCTCACGAAATTGCCTTTTAGGTTGCGAGATCTATCTGCTACCTTTTCAACGGCCTGAAGATTTATTTCAATTTGTTGGCCAAGCTCACTGTCACTATGCATTGACATTTCGCGGGCCAACTCCTCCGGGTCAGGCAGGCTTTTCTTCGCCCTAGTGTTTGTGAGTGTTACGGAGGGGTCGAAAAGATCCTCCTCTGTTTCGATGCCTGTTGCGGCCTCTTCTTCAGAGGCTGTGGCTGACACTGCCGCAAATTTAGCGGCCACAACCGCAGCACTTGGGGGCTTGGCCTTACGCTTTCTTCCCCCTTCCGATGGGGCCGATTTAAGCGATATGGACGAACAATCGGACACGCCTCCATCGCTTACAATCGCCTGATTTGCCGGCGTATTGGGGCGCTTAAAGCGCCCACGCTTTTCTCGTGTCGGCACCGTTGTAACACCCGACACGGCTCCTTCCTTATTACTTTGCCCCTTAGATGTTGTGGGACCCGCGGTTGACGCTTGTGCGTCCCCGCGATGCAGTGGATTGCCCCCCCCAGATACGATGGGGCTGCCACAGAGCTTATTTAAGCTGCTGGGGGTGGACTCCCCGCTTTTGGCGGGACCACCCTGGGGAATAGATTTTTTGTCGCACTGCATTTTTTGTATCCTTTTTTTATACAGGGTGAGGTCCCTGAACCCCTAACCCCCCCAAAGGCTTGGGACTGGGCTCCCCCCCAGCCATTCATCCCCTTGGCACCTAAGACCTTAGGATTAGGGTTATTTTTGAAGAGGTTTTCTTCCTCGCGGCCTTGCAGGGCCCCCGGGCCCTAGTGGGCTTACGGGTTGTCCGGCATAGGTGCACTTGGCACATCGCCGCACAGAGGTTGCCCGGAATCGGTGCGCTTGGCACATAACCGCGCGGGGTCACCCAGCATTGGTGCGCTTGGCACATCGCCGCGTGTGTTGCATCCCGTGTTCGCTCTAATCAAAGAGCGATACCGGGAGCAACAACAAGCCTGTGAAGGCCCGTCTCTTCGGGTGTTTAGCCCCGGCCGTTTCTGGTCCTATTGGAACCACGGGTACGCCCATACCCGGCCAGTTTTGGTCCGCGGCGGTTTCCCGCTACCACCCATATCTGAGTGGCGTTCCCCTATCCGCCACCTGGGGACGCGCCCGATGGGAGCTCTGGCAACTCCACACGGGAATGGCGCAAGCCTGGCGGGAATTCAAACCACCTTTGCAGGACGTCTCGCAGAAATAAATTGATTTAGGCGAAGGCGAGAAACTTTTGTCTATTGTGGGTAAATCGCTATTGGATTCACTGTGGCATGATATACCTGTTGTTGTATTCCATTTTATTATAACTGGCGGAGGTTTATATGTTTTTAATCCCAGTAACAATAGTAACACAAACATGAAGACACCATATAACAAACGTAAAAGTTTTTTTAATGTCTGCATTTTTTTTATCTTACTAATATTGCGTGTTTTAGAGTAACAAAATATTTTTATTTGTACACGTAAAATTCGACATTTCACTGAGTGAAATATTGTATTCTTGCGTAAGTACTTGCTAATTAATGAACGAAGAAGAAGAAATGAAGTGGTGTGGTATGGTACTCGTAGGTAGCTGTCATACGTTTACTGAAATACACAATAAAGTACAAGCTTTGTTTTTATGACCTTAACAACATTATCAATAAACTATTGTACATGTATCATGCAAATATATTCATAGACAAGGTACATACTGATTGTGAGTGCAACTAAAATGCAACTATACCTATTATACTATAGTATACAATGGTAGGCAAGTCATGAATATTATGTCACTATATTATGCTATCTTAATTATTAAATAATCTCAATTCATAAGAAAGTAGACTGCATATATTTACTATGTTAATATTCATTAGGTAATATTGAGGTACAACAGTATTGTCCTATGATGTACTTCGTGATCTTGGTTTACACTTGTAAATCAAAATCACGAAGTATAATAGGCCACACACGTTGTTAGTAACTAGCACAGAGTACATTATATATAGGGGAGTAACTAGCTTTATCCGTGGCTTCGCCCGCGTGGACTTCGGTTGCACAAAATTATTTTTGTTAAGTGCGAAAATTTTCGAAACTCTTATTACGAAAAAATTTCCATATGTTTTTGTTTGTATAAAATTGAAGAAAAATATCTTTGGTTGTACCATATTATGGTTGTACTGTGTGTATCTGGCTGGTTTAAATATCAATAAATATAGGGCATTAAGAAAAAGATAAAGTAAAATACACTTTCCCGCCATTATGGCGATGCCATGTTTAGAATAGAATTTTTTTTTATAGGATCGGGTGACAAACTAGCACACAGTCCACCTGATGGTAAGTGGTTACTGTGACCCATAGACATCTACATCTATCCTCAATAAAGACTCAAGATGCAGATGCGTTGTCACCCGTGAGGACTAAGATGGAATGCCTCTGCCAGTAAAAAGGGTCTCCGGTTCTCTACACGCACCATACGAAACACAGCAGCGTTAAGCTGCTATTTTACGCTGGTTTTCTGTGAGAGCGTGGTCCTTCCCCGGTCGAGCCGACCCATTCGTGCTACAACCATAATATAGCTGCACCATAATTTGGCTCTACCACGTATAATAAATGGAATAGAATAATTTTTATTCAATATTGATTACAAGAAATTTTTATTGAAAGTCATTTTTTTGACTAGTTTGAAAATAATTCCTCAATACTGGGAAGAACCAGCAAGAAACCCAGCGGGACTTTATTTTAAGTAGATTTTACAATATAAATGGTTATAAGCTATTTACAACTTTACTAGCTTGTGTTTGTTCCTAGTGTTTACAGGGTGTATGTCACTTTCTTTTTACTAAAACTATCTTTGTTTTTGTGAACATACATTACATTTTCGTAAATATATTGAGAGGCCAAAGTTAATATATTTATTTCTTTAAGAGACTCTCGGTTTAAGGTGGTAAATAACTCTTATTGCTCTCTTCTGTAAAAGACAAATAGTTTCTAAATCAGCCGCATTTCAACATAGCAAAATCCAATAAGACATTATGCTACGGAAATAACTGAAATAAACTAATCTAGCTGTCTCGATACTAGTGAGATCTCTAATCTTTTTAACAGCATAAGCTGCAGAAATTAGTCTGCTTGCTAGTTTGGATATATGGGGGCCCCACTGAAGCTTTGCGTCAAGAGTGATGCCAAGAAAAACAGAGGATTCCACAAGGCTCAGTTTTCCCCATTTAAAAACACATTGGTATTCAGATTTTTAACATTCATTGTTGTAAATTTAAAAAACTTAACATATGATCTAAAATAGTTTATTCAAAAATTTTACTTAATGTTGGTAGTACAGAAATTGGTCTGAAATTGGCGAGGTCTAATGTACCACCAGATTTAAAAAAGGTATGACTTTACTATGTTTCATTAGATCAGGAAACACACCAGATTCGATGCTTGTATTAAAATTGTGGCTAGATAAGGTGCTATTGTATTTATTGAAAATGCAATAACTTTAACGGAAATCCCTCATAAGTCTGTCATTACCTCATCAATAGTTTTAAAATATTTATCGATATCTTTTGGCAATACTCTACGGAATTTAAAAGTATTTGACAAGGCTTTACATTTTGTTTAAGTAATGATTCGGCAACAGTAGGAGAAGAATTTAATGATTTTGTTGTCAGAAAAGAAACATCAGTAAAATATTTTTCAAAAACCATAGCAACTTCTTGATCAGATAGAGTTAAATTATTGTTAATATTCAATTGAAAATCCGAGTTGTGTGGTTTGACCCTGCTGGTTTCACTATTAATTATACTCCACGTCATTTTAATTTTATCGGATGCTGTTTTAATTTTGCATATTTTTTTTTAAATTTTAGAATATGTTTTTACATACTCCTAATATAACACTATGATTATATGACCTTTCATTATAAAGCTCGTATAACTTTCGCCTACTTTTATAAATTCCTGCTGTCGTCCATTCATTAAATGATTTGCGACTGTTTATAGAGAAAGTTTAAAGTTCTACAAGTATTCTATTAAATTCACAAGTTATAATTTTAAATAATGCACTGTTCAAATAATCAGCACTATCTTTAAATAAAAGTGATGGAAGTCCTTTTACTATGTTGATTTTAAACCTCTCCAAACGATGTTCATTTATTAAAACAAAGATCTAAACAACAGTCGAAAACAGTGCCAGAGACAAGGGACAATCGCAATACAGCCAGGCCCGAAAACCGAAAACCATCATCATTACAGCTCATTCACAAGTCCACTGCTAAACATAGGCCTCCCACCAAAGACTAACTCAGAACACGGTCCTGAGCCACCTGCGGCCATTGTCTTACCAGGTCCTCACTCCATCTAGTGGGGCTCTTTTTTCATCAAATACCTACGTATACACTACGTGTGCCTAGCGGGGACTAGGATGGGCTAAATCGGACTCGCAACGAATAAAACCCCACGGTGTTCCAACTTCGCCGCATATTGGCAGGGCAGCGGCAAAGCTTTCGCACACATCCGGCCCCACTAGCGCCAGCCGCCACTTGACATCCCCTCCTCGGAAGAATGAAGCATTGTTTTGTGTATTAATATAATACTTTAGAAACTGATAAACTTTTATTAAAAAACAACTTCGAAACAACTTTAAATCTATGTTCAAAGTTGGGGAGCATGCCGCAACTAATTATTATTGCAATATTCACGTGGTAGAACCATGCTGCAGCTATATTTCTGGTATTGTTGTAATACGAATGGGTCGGCTCGACCGGGGAAGGACCACGCTCTCACAGAATACCAGCGTAAAATAGCAGCTTAATATTGCTGTGTTTCGTATGGTGAGTGTAGAGAACCGGAGACCCTTTTTACTGGAAATGAGGCATTCCAACTTAGTCCTCACGGGTGACAACGCATCTGCATCTTGAGTCTTTATTGAGGATAGATGTAGATGTCTATGGGTCGCAGTGGCCACTTACCATCAGGTGGACTGTGTGTGTCACCCTTATTCTATAAAAAAAATGTTTCCAAATACCTACCCTAGAGCACCACCGCTTGCTGCTTCATAGAGAAGACGTGCTACACATTGCTTGTCATCGTACAGTGCTATCGATTTTAGGGCTTCCGTGATAAACGATAGAGCTTCCGATGCTGAAGATGACTTATGGCCTGTGGCGTGTTGATGGTCTTAGGAAAAATAAAAAGTTTAAAATATACTTAATTGGTCCATAATATGACGTCATGTATTAATTAATAATGATCGATTATCAACATCAAAACATTACATTGTATTCATTTTAATTGACCGGCTATAGGCATTGTAAACAAGTCCAAGAGTTCAGTTGTCAGGTAATGTCACCAAATAACCGCGCAGCCGTCGCATAACTGAGGGATGATAATAAATTAGAGTGCAGTATTTTATTAGTTGCAGCCATAGAATTATTACCCAGTACGTAATAATTCTATGGTTGCATCGTTACGAATACGGGACAAGACCAATGATATTATAAAAAAAGGACAAAACGTTAAAATCGATGTGCATTTGATCACGTGTTCCAGGAAATAATGACTTATTTTCAATTGCAACATTTTTTATTGTTTTCTTTTTACAGGCCAGTAACACGTTTTTATTTTTAGGCATTTTATCATTTGGAAAATGTCGCCTTAGTTACTTTTATTTTACTTTTCTATTATTATTATGTTTACTTATTTTATTATTACGACATTTCGCGTTCTTACACCGAAGATGAGTGTATGAGTTCCGGGTTTAAATCCCATTCTAAACCTATATTAGTACTACACAAATCAATTTTTTATATAGTGAAGTGACAAACGGGCTAAGTGCCCACCGGCTGGTAAGTGGCTATTAAATATTAAATTATTCACAACTGTCCCTAATCGACTTTAACCGAAGGCCACAGGTGTGTTATCGCCCGTTTGGACTAAGATTGAGTGCAGCTGTCTTTAATCGTACTAGCTCGTACCCATTCTCGGATTTAGATCGGTTATGATTTTTCCAATTTATGTATGTGAAACGTACGATACAGATATCTCGCCTCTACGATACTCTACGATACAGGAGAAAATCCTAGTGTATTTAAAATAAAAATAAAATGCGCTTTACAATATTTAGCTAACTTCGTTGACAACAAAACTTTGTAGTAGAAATCGGCCAGTATAAAATAATCTTTTTTTTTTTTATAAAACTGAAGTGACCAACGAACCTACAGTCCACCTGATGGTTAGTGGCAACTGTAGTCCACAAACACTTCCTACGTACTTTAAACAAATAAAACTACAGATGTGTTGTCACCTCTGAGAACTAACATGGAATGTCTCACAGCCTGTTATTCACTGGCTTCTATACCCTTCAGAGCGGAACACAGCAGGCAGTGCAAGCATCGCTATTTGGCGATAGAAATGGGTAAGAGAGTGTTACAAGCCTAGACGGAATCCTAGACAGGAAAAGATTTCTACCACGTAGTGTATTTATTGTATCTATGCACACTAACAAACCTCTGCTTATCAAATGTTTGCCAAACGTACCGCAAATATGCAGCCTGTAACATTAAGTGC